CATAATACATATGCATCAAATTGTATATATACAGCTTATTGCTGCGAAGCAGCCAATTCATATTCTTGACAGCAATTTGACCTCTGAAAGGTCATTGTTTGTCAAAAAACGAGTGGCTAAGACGACTGAAAAGCGGAGTTTCCTTCTTTCGTTCTGCCGGGTAAAATCAATTACTTTAGGCGACGTTTGTAGACTAACCTACTCTTACCAACATCCGCATGTTGCGCTAGCCTTATCCTACTCTAGGCCTAGACTAGCTAGGATGGTATAGGCCTAGTCTTGAAGGGACGAAGGTCCCAATGAAAAACAATGTCGCTCTTTGATAGCTAACATTGTCTATTTAACATCACAATAATTCATTATTAGACCTATTGTTGTTTTTTGAATTGTACCTCGCTGGTTAACGTCTCTATCTATTGTCGTGACGTCATGGCTCGCTGGCTCACACTTGGGATATGTCTCGCACTTGTGATCAAATAACACGCTGGCTCGCACTTTGGCAACACTCTTTGGCAGTCAACTCGCCCCTAGAAAACCCGCCCTTGGACACTTTCCCCATAAAAAAATGTACACTTCCTAGACCATGCAGTCTTCAAAATAAAAATCGTAACCTTTGGTAATCAACTACATTTTCCACATACATAGAAATTTTTGAAACTTTATTTAAAAAAACCTAAACCATAATTCACCACACTATAGACACTTTTTGAAAAAAAATGAAAAATTACGACTTTGTTACCCAATGAGAAGTGTTCTAATATACAGTAGACAATGTCTCATATTATTTGTTATATTTTTATTATTCTTTATTTTCACTTGACTCGCATAAATAATTTTGTTCGAAGAACATCTACTGTATATGCAGTTGTACTTCGCTGCACTTTACTTGCAATTTGCAATTTCTAGTTCTATGATGTCCAGAGTAGTTTCCTGTATAAAGAGGTTAATATCCTCATATCAGTGTTATTCAGAAGATTAAGTTGTTTCTATGAAATGTGGATAATATCTTATTACATAAATATAACTATCACATCTTTTTCTTCATAATTTTAAATATTATTAAGTCTGTATTTTGTGTTTGTTTACTTTTTTTTTTTTTTTTTAACTTGGCAGCTGATTATTAAATATTAGAATAGAAATTCAGTGATTTTACAAACAAGAAAATGCAAAATAATTTTATTTTGAAATTGTTTATGCACACCAAAAAAAAACATAAATGAATGATGGTTTTAGAGATGCCCAGAATAAAATGTATTCAAGAGATTTTGAAATACATTAAGATTTACATATATAGGACTCGATAGCATTAGAACAGTTTATCAAAAGTCAGCTTTGCATTTTATTCAAACTTAACATGTCCATCTCTGTTTGAGTGTGTTTGCAAAGTTGTCGTTTTATCGACTTAACAAGCTGGCAGTATAGCAATGAGCGTAAATGTTTTATCATATGATCTGCAGTATTATCTAAATGTCGTAGAGCTATCACAGTTATTCCAATTCTACTTTTCACGGGCCAGAAGGGCAAATCAGACATGTGGCTAAAACGAGAACTCTCATTTGGATAATTGAAATAAACTGTTGTGATCGTTTATCTTCCAAGGCGTTTCAATCCAATTTTCGTGGACAGCTTCGATGATTCAAATCAAGAATATCCTCAGTAATGTATTCCCACAACCTTAACTGATCAATTACTGCGAAGGATCAATAACATTACATATCAATTCCCATGTTGGACTACCTATTTTCCTTATTTTACAGCCTTAGCACTCAAAATTTATTATGAGTCAAGTGTTGATTTGCAATACAAAATGTTGCATTTAATTTTGAAATTTTGTTCATAAAAGGAAAATTTTGGAATTTGAAATGATCCTAATTGCTTGTTGTAACACAATGATTATTAATAATGAAAACAAATGAAAGTACTAAAGGAGTTTTTACATTGTGTTTTTTTTTTATGTGAACCTCCGAACATTTTTTTTTTTTTTTTTTTTTTATTTTGTTTTTTTGTAATTTTGATATGTTGTTAATATTTGTAATTATATTCATATTTAAATGTTATAGTTTATTGATGTTGAAATATGTTTGATTGAACTTAGAGTGTTCCTTGAATATCAGTTGTAATTTTGTTGATATTGATGATTTAATAATTGACTTTCAAAGCTAAAATGAGTTTGTCAAATATTTATAAATAATTTTATATAACAAACACATCAGAAATGGTGCATCATTTATTGTCACTGTAATGTTAAACAATCAGATTGTTGTTATTGCTACATAAACTTTGGGAAATTCCTTTTCAGAATATCTCATCATCAATGAGGTTTCTATTTGAAAAAATGATGTACTTTGCGTTCAAAGGTCAAACAGTTGAGAAGAAGCGAAGTTTAGAATCGCTTGACTTCGCACAACAAATGACGCCACAGCAAGCACTGAACATCTTAGAAAGGGAAGACTTTTTCAATGATAGATTGACCTTAGATTTGTCTATCGACAGCGACATCGCTGTTTCGTAGGCTAGTAATATTATAGGTTACCCAAACAATAAAATATATGGTCATAAAATTGTAGTATTATAGTATATATAAACTCTTATTTACTGGCATTCGCACAGCAGGCAGGCAT